TGTATTTTACAAGGCAATATAGATAACGCAGGCAGAAAACGTCTGTTCCCTCCTAAGCATACCCCTACGCCCCGGGTTCATTGGTGATGTCCATTTTGTAGTCCGAATGCACGGAGACCTAACCCTAACCCTAAGTGGGTTCTTCCCCAATGGGATTTACCAATGTATTTTACCAGAAAATATAGATAACGCAGGGCGAAAAGGTCAGTGCCCTCCTAAGCATACCCCTGCTCCCCGAATTCATTGGCGATGTCCATTTTGCAATCTGAATTCATGGAGACCTAACCCTAAGTGGTTGTTTCTCCAATGGGATTTTACAATGTATTTTACCAGAAAATATAGATAACACAGGGAGAAAAGGTCAGTGCCCTCCTAAGCATACCCCTGCGCCCCGAATTCATTGGCGATGTCCATTATGCAGTCTGAATTCATGGAGACCATAACGCTATGTGGGTTTTTCCCCAAGGGGATTATCCCACGTATTTTATAAGGAATTAAAGATAACGCAGGGAGAAAAGGTCAGTGCCCTCCTAAGCATACCCCTGTGCCCCGAATTCATTGGCGATGTCCATTATGCAGTCTGAATTCATGTAGAGCTAACCCTAACCCTATGTGGGTTTTTCCCCAAGGTGATTTTCCCACGTATTTTACAAGGAAATATAGATAACACAGGGAGGAAAGGTCAGTGCCCTCTTAAGCATACCCATGTGCCCCAGATTCATTGGCGATGTCCATTTTGCAGTCTGAATTCATGGAGACCTAACCCTAACCCTATGTGGGTTTTTCCCCAAGGTGATTTTCCCACGTATTTTATAAGGAATTAAAGATAACGCAGGGAGAAAAGGTCAGTGCCCTCCTAAGCATACCCCTGTGCCCCGAATTCATTGGCGATGTCCATTATGCAGTCTGAATTCATGTAGAGCTAACCCTAACCCTATGTGGGTTTTTCCACAATGGGATTTTCCCACGTATTTTACAAGGAAATATAGATAACGCAGGGAGAAAAGGTCAGTGCCCTACTAAGCATATCCCTACGCCCCGAATTCATTGGCGATGTCCATTATGCAGTCTGAGTTCACGGAGACCTAACCCTAACGCTATGTGGGTTTTTCCCCAAGGGGATTATCCCACGTATTTTATAAGGAAATATAGATAACGCAGGGAGAAAAGGTCAGTGCCCTCCTAACCATACCCCTGAGCCCCGAATTCATTGGCGATGTCCATTATGCAGTCTGAATTCATGTAGACCTAACCATAACCCTATTGGGGTTTTTCCTCAAGGGGATTTTCCCACGTATTTTACAAGGAAATATAGATAAAGCAGGGAGAAAAGGTCAGTGCCCTCCTAAGTATACCCCTACGACCCGGGTTCATTGGCGATGTCCATTATGCAGTCTGAATTCATGGAGACCTAACCCTAACCCTATGCTTGTAATGTTCAATTGGGTGAAATGATGCATCATAATAATGAATTCTCTCTCTCTCTCTCTCTCTCTCTCTCTCTCTCTCTCTCTCTCTCTCCCTCTCAATATCTACCTACCTACCTATCCATCTCTAGATAAATACTTTCTAGAATATAGTATTTAGTATACAAAAGCATACTTATTAAATATATAAAGTCATGTCTATAATATAACTAAAGAACAGCCATGTTTATCCTATTCATGAACCCATCAGAAAACTCACATTGCTGGAATGCATGGTATGACAAGGTATAGAGTGGATGGGTATGTATGTGTGTGCGTGTGAGCAACAGATAACAGCTGGCACATCAAGTGGTGTACAGAATGTAACACGCTTATGCTGCACTTTTCAAGAAGTAACAAAACAAGGAGTGGATGTACACAAATCATCTGTAACATTTCTGACGTGTCATGAATTTAGACTTGGAATAAACAAGTTGGATATAAAAGGAGAAATAAAATGCAATAGACTTCGGAAGCGTGAGATCTCCATGGGGATGCCCTGAAGTCTAATTCCCAACCCACTCTAACACAGCCTGGCCAAATGCTGTTAAGTGTTTGTAAGTATTGAATGTGTGAATGAGTAGCCTTGTTGGGCAGCAATACTTACAGCAACCTGAGTAGCCTTTTTGGGCACAGTTATTTGAATAGCCTTGTTGGGCACAGTTATTTGTTGGGTGCAGTTATTTGATTAGCCTAGTTGGGCAGAATCTTTGACAGAAACTTGGGTAGCCTAGCTGGGCAGTTGCTTATTGAGTCTTGGTTTAGCCTAATCAGGCAAAAAGTAATATTGTTTAACCTAGCTGGGTAACTATGCTATTGTGACAAACTGTATAAGATAACGAACAAGTAACATGTATTAGTCAACTGTGATTGAGCACCTGCCTTGTTTTCTGTTCGAATAACACAAGAATAAAAGAACTATTATTAAACTTTATCTTGAGTGAGTTTGACTCATTCATTTTATAACAACAAGACAAAATGTTTGAGCCAAGGCATCTCAAATGGGCTAATAAACAGAATACATCCAAAATCTAAGAACCATCACTTCTGTGGGATTGAAATTTCACAAAGTTGCGGCTGCTTCAAGTGCTGCCACGTTACCATGGTCAGTTAGAATCAAGTCATCTTCATTTCCAAGATTCCCTGCCAGCTTTCCAGAAGTTGATGGGGGAACTGGCATGAAATTTAAACTCAGTCATGACTGCTGATGGCCCCTGCCAGCTTTCCACAAGTAAAATCAGTGGGAAAGCTATCAAGCAGCTGCAAATTGAAGGCCAGTAGGAAGGTAGGTGGCTGTTGCCAGGTGAAGGAGGTAGTAAGTGAATGACTAAGAAAGTGCTGAGAGTTGGGGATGTGCGATTGACATGGTACAGAACATGGAAGGTGTATGAGGCTGCCTGAGTGGTACAAGGAGGGTCAGGGAGGATGCGCAAATATGAAGTGCAGGTCATGGAGAGTGCAGGTTGAAGACAGTGTGCAAGGGTTCACAGGTATCTGACATGGCATGAGCACAGAGGGAATAGGGAAAGGTATGTAGATGGGGGAGACTTACCTGAGCAACTTGTACCTTCCCTGCCAGCTTGCCCATTGACTTTCTCCCTGTAACTTCCCACAAGCAAAATCAATGGCGAAGCTGGCAGCAAGTCAGAAATCGCTCCTACTCTCATGCTTTTTTATTTGCCAAAAGTCATTCTGTTAATTTGTTTAGGTAAATAAATATCTCTGAAATGGTGACACAACTGAAACAAAGACCCAACAGGTCATGAGTTATCTAGTTACAATTATTTTCAAAATTGCATCCCAAAAGCATTAAATTAATCACTTTGAGATTCCAAGATCAGAAAATAAATAAATAAGTCAGAAATATAAAATTTCATGGATGATTGTTTCAGGCAGAAAAAAGTTTTGAAGATAAACCCAAAAATAAATGAGTGCACAAGATTATCTACCTTCAAATCTAAATTTAAACATTTTTTTAAAATCTACAATATTAACAGTTTAGTTAGTTATGATGTCTAGTCTGAGTGTTCTCAATATATTTAAACATACTAAGTCAGTATATATATATGTGTGTGTGTGTGTGTGTGTGTGTGTGTGTGTGTGTGTGTAGGTCTTTGGTTGTTCGGGTTTCTCCCACGTAAAATTGGAAGTGTCTTGGCGACGTTTCGACGAAGTCCCATTCGTCATCTTCAGGCTGGTGCTTTCAGCTTCGTGCTTTGAGCAGCAATGTGTGGTCTTAGCTGTTTCTTCCTTTTAACTGCCAGTGGGGGTATGAACTGATTAGGTGGGAGCTTGGCTGTGTTCTGATTGGGTGGAGGTGTGTTCTGATTGGTTAGGGGCTTGGCTGTGCTCTGATTGGCTGGGGGTTGGCTGTGCTCTGATTGGCTGGGGGGTTGGCTGTGCTCTGATTGGCTGGGGGAGTGTTCTGTTTGGTTGTGCTCAGGTTAGTCTGAGTTGCAGGGGGGTTTAAGATTTTGGGCTGCCTTGCTATTTTTTGGACCAGGGAAGATGTTGGTTCCTCTTTTTTGACTGAGTTCTTATGTTCTTCAATGCGTGCACTTATTCTTCTGTTGAAGAAGATAAGAACTCAGTCAAAAAAGAGCAACCAACATCCTCTCTGGTCCAACACCTTAAAGCCACAGGACATGAAATTGACTTTAAAAATATCAGAACCATTGCCAAAAGTGAAGATTTAATAACAGAATAATCAGAAAAGCCATCGAGATAGAAAAACGCCCACACAGCATGAACAAGCGAGATGATACCTCCCGCCTATCAGCCATTTGGAAACCCGCCCTTATTGACAAACGACTCCCTAACACAAAAAAATGATACCAGACCCACACTCACAAAAACCACACAGGATGTCACCCCCCCACATCCACGCAAAAAGCAAACCCAAAGCCACACCGATGATGAGGCACGACCACAAACCAGAAGCCAGACCACAGCTGCATCATTAGCCACTTTAAACCCCTCCAATCCATACATGAAGCAAACTGACACCCTTCATGAAGATGAGGCACGACCACGAACGCGAAGCCAAAAAATAGCAAGACAGCCCAAAATCTTAAACCCCCCTGCAACTCAGACTAACCTGAGCACAACCAAACAGAACACTCCCCCAGCCAATCAGAGCACAGCCAACCCCCCAGCCAATCAGATCACAGCCAAGCCCCTAAGCAATCAGAACACACCTCCACCCAATCAGAACACAGCCAAGCTCCCACCCAATCAGTTCATACCCCCACTGGAAGTTAAAAGGAAGAAACAGCTAAGACCGCACATTGCTCCTCAAAGCACGAAGCTGAAAGCACCAGCCTGAAGATGACGAATGGGACTTCATCAAAACGTCGCCAAGACACTTCCAATTTTACGTGGGAGAAAACCCGAACAACCAAAGACCTACATACAAACACCCGCGAAAACCTCAGAAAACATATATATATATATAGATAGATAGATAGATAGATAGATAGATAGATAGATAGATAGATAGATAGATATAGATATAAATATAAATATAAATAATGGCTTGATTTTTTATTTTTTTTTCTTACCATGTCAACCAGCAGTTTCCAGAGAGGCTTTTAAAAAAAGAGGGCAGGGGAGAGAGAAAGAAACATTCTGAAATTCTTAAACATAGAAATAACATTTTAGAACACAAAAATCATTACACACACACACACACATTGCTGCAGATTACAGTATCCTCCCTGCAACGATCCAGACTGTTAAATGCACATGTTGGGATTTATGAACTACTTCAAAGATGATCACAGTAATAAAAGACTATGCACTTCCTGCGTTCCCAAAAACTAAATGTGGGAAAGCCAGTACTGACTCTTTGTGAGTGTAGGTTAGTCTAGTCACAATTATTCATGATCTGGAAATACCCAGCAACCTCTTAGGCCAGTGATGGCAAACCTTTTAGAGACCGAGTGTCCAAACTGCAACCCAAAACCCACTTATAAATCGACGGGTACTGGGTGGTGTGGCCCATTGGCTGGGTGTGGCCAATTGGGGGTGTGGCCCATTGGGTGGGCATGGCTGCAGTGATAACGGCAGACTTGGTGGGATTAAAAAGTTCAATCAATCAATCAATTCCAACTTTGCAAGATCTTTTTTTTTCCCCCGCAAGAAGTTGAAATTGACTGACTGAACCTTTTTTTTTTTTTGCACACGGCAGCGGAGGCCTAAAGCAGAAAGGTTTTATAAAACTCAGCTGAAGGCCTAGGACTGGGGTTACAGCGTGCGTGGCCACAGAGAGGGCTCTGAGTGCCACCTCTGGCACCCGTGCCATAGGTTCGCCACCATTGTCTTAGGCACATTATGTAGCAGTGTCTCTGAATTTCTGTCAGAATTTTCAAACCACTGGCTAGGCAGCTGCCATACATTACATGGGCAATATCTCAGTAGATTCCAAGGAGCGTCTCTAGATCCTGTAAGGCTCTTTCTATCACTAGGCTGTCTATCCAACCAGGAAAGCTGAGGGTAAGCAGTTATCATCTTTCACTGGGACTTGCTCCTACTACTTTTTTTTATCTAGTCAGGATTATAGCAGCAAGAATGGAAAATGAAAAAGGCTTCCATTTCTTTTACTTGAAAAATACCAGGATACTGTAAGCCACTATCTGGGACCCAATATGGGGAGATTTTCTGAGACATGTAACTAGATTATAAAAATCACAAGATGTCATCTAACATGTCTGTTTAAAATATTGTTTTATTCACTTGGAACACTCCAAAGGAAACAACGAGTATTAGGGTTCGAGGAAAAAACTATTAGGATTCAAAAGCAAATGTAAAAGAAATGGAGAGGCTTATCCAAAATAGGAACTAATCCTGACAAGAAAGCAGCTTTGAAAGAAATCAAGCAAACACAACCAAAATAAAATCAAAATTCTAATGCACTGTCTGATTAATTATTACATCTAGAAGTCTGGGTTCTCATTATTTTTTGAGTCCTGGAATATTTAAGCCCATAATCTGGAATGTATTTGTTCCTTTTAGAGTCAACAAACAAAGAGCAAAATTCTCCAGCCAATATTTCTTCAATATTGGACTTCAAGGGAAGATATTCACCTTATTAGACATAAAGCAGGCCAATCCACAAGCCAGCTATGGATACATTGTTGATCCAATCTCTAGGGCTTGCATAGTAAACTGTGCCTGATAAAGCATCCACTACATCATACAAGGCGCCAGCTTTGAACTACAAAGGACAAATGCTTTGAAATCAAGAGTATCTGCTTCATATACATTTATTTTAAGTTTATCCTGTAACATTCCTGTACATGTTTCCTTGCCTGCAAATATTTGGCAGGTAGAAAGAGCTATCCCTCTGACACCATTTCATTTCTGGAAGAAACGTTTTACTTCTATAGACTTGGCACACATGTTTATAAATTTGGGGTGATGAGTAAGTATGGTGTGATCCACTCATTTAGCATATTGTTTGAGGGTTGCTACTTGGAATTCTATTTTGTTTGTTTTTACTTCATCATATTAGCATATGATGAAATCCTGCCCAATATATGGGAGGAGGGCAACTTGTGGCTTGCCAAAAATTGCTGAACTATTATTTCTGCCTCCACAAGTCAAGAGACAAATGCCAGGACTTGCAATTCAAAGAGAGTCTCTTAAGAGTGCTCTGTTCCTTGTCCCTGGTCTAATCAATTAAGTAACCTACAAAATATGATAATGTTCTACAGTGATATTGTGAGGAGGCTTCTAGATCTTCACAATGTTCTGGAAATTATAGGAGTTCTATCTATTCAACCAGCCATCACATTTTTACTAGGCTGATAAATGAAAGAGAGTTTTTTATAATCTATTTAAAAAAAAAAAACTTAAAACAGCAAAACTAAATGATAAATGAAAGATAGTTTAGAAGGGAGGAAGAGTTGGATTTTTATTCCAGGTTGAGTATATGTTCCAAGGCATTCTTGCCTTCTATGATTTGAAGCACCAAGATAGAAGCAAAACAATATACAAAAATTCTAAAACCTTGAAGTTTGATACAGAGGTGACAATGTAAAAATAGGATTGTGAAGAGAAGACCTGAATGACTCAGACTACATTCCTACACTATTTGTAATAATTGAGCAATATGTAATTTTTACAATTTACGAAAATATTGGTTCAAAACCACAGAAAAGCAGAATATATAAACAATTTAAATCCCCAACATACAAAATACTTAAAACACTTTTTCATGTTTATCCATGAAAAACAGAGACACTGCAGGAGAGGATGGAAGAGAACAGTGTTTGTTCAGGGATAAAGAGTGATATTTTTGTTTACTTGTTCTAAATCTTTACCTTTCCTTCTTGTTTGGCCCAGAGGTCCCAGATAGCATTCAAAATGGCAGCTGTGGCCAAATGTACAGCTCCTTTCTCAGGACCAATCTATTAGCAAAAAGAAAAAGAAAAAAGAAAAAGAAAGAAAAAAGAAAAAAAAGAAACCTATGTTATTAAATTATTATGACAGCCAAGCACAAGTATATGTAAGGTTTCTATCTTTGCTATCATTTGTGGATTACTGAACTGGACACTTTCAAGAAAAAGTTTGATTTTAAAACTGCTAGGCACACATTAGCTACACAAGATCTAGCTTTACATAATTAAAAGATTACTCACAGCTCTGTAAGTCTGTCATCCTTGTTTAGGAGACATGTTGCAAACGTTTATTCATTAAGAAAGTGCTCAGTGAGATTTAAATAAATTAAATACTATACTATTCACAGTGGTAGTCTATAACTGTACAGAATTTTTGTTTTGGTGCCTTTGAGTCAATATTGACTTTTGATGACTATCTGGTCTAGACTCTGAAGTTTTCTGACAATGGACATCATGTACAGTGTATTTTTTGCAAAAGTGAACAAGCCCAAAATGTGTCTGCACAAACTGATGCGTCTTAGAGTGAGTGAGTTTTGGATAAGGAGGTTCTTCCTATATGCACCTTTGTTTTGGGAGTAAGGAATTGAATAGAAGGAGGGAAAGAGTGACTGAAAAGCCAGTTTATATGTAATAAATACATTGGGTTGGAAAAAGAACCAGAAAGAAAGGGAAATGGCATGGATGACCAACTGTAACTTTAGGCTGTTTGTTCTTGGTTCTCAAGAACTGGTTCTAATTCTTCAGAAGTTCACAGAAGGAACGGAAAAAAGATGGAAGTCTGCATCAACAGCTATTTACCAATGCCTGTTGTCTGGGTGATCTCAGTGCATTCTTTGTCTTCCAAAAGCCAAGTTTCTTCTGGAGCTGGGTATTCAAACCAGTTCAGACAGTGGCATTGGTATATTTAGCTCCTGTGTTTGATCTTCACCCAGGTGACATGGCTATTGAGTCTTCCAGGTTCTGAAAGCTAACTCAACAGATGTAGTTCATGGATGCAAGAATGTCTAAGGCAGAGTCCTGGAAAAGCAAAGCTCAGGTCCTAAAAAGTATCACAGCCACTGCAGAGCAGTAACTACAACACAATATCTTAGCAGGCCTATGCCCATAGCAAGATCATGCTACTGATCTGAAGCCTGTTAAGGGCACCCAACCTCAGATACCTCAAAGAAGATTCTCTTAAACAAAAGTTTGCAAGGAGAGGACAGTTCAGAACTGACTGCTCAACTTCACTATTTCCATTGAGGGACTCCTGCTACTAATGGAAAAATGAAGCTTAAAATGAGCTTTGGTCCCCATTCTCTTTCTGGTTTGGCCAAAATATATCAGTGTTTAATACTATGTTTGCCCAATGAGGATTACTCAGAGGAACTCCTAATTTATCCCCTAATCCAAGGCAAATTTACAAAATGTTTAGCCTTTCCTCAAATGTTCAAGGTGATCAGCACTGTTTATGTGTTATCCAATCAATATTTCAATAGGATGCTATATATGTACTCCATTTCCACATAATGGGAATTTTACTCTTATAGAATTCATTGGAATTATCACGTATGAAAATTGGGGTGATGGGGATGGAGAGTCCTTATAAACATTTGTTTCTAGTAATTCCTCTTCTTTTCAAACACCTACCATGTTATCAATGCCTTCTTTTAGGCTTTTAGGAAGAAATGGTGCCATATTGGGATTTTAGGAGTAGGAATGTCTCAAGAATAAAGGATTACTGATCAAATTTAGGTTTTCATTACAATATGCAGACCAATCCCTTTCAGATTAATGGGATTTTCTTTGAATTTTGACCTTGATGTTAATATTTTTCATATATGCTCAGAAGCAGATAGGAAAATAGGAAGGGAATTCAAAACTGCCAAAGCTGGAGGTAAGGAAAGTCACAAAATTCTATGACTTAAAAATGTAAATGAATAAGTAAAAGGTCAGGTGACAAAAATACAAGAATTCAAATAATATTTCTATTTTAGGTCATAGTAATGCACCATTTTCTTTGAAAGTCCTATTTTATGTAGCATTTTGAATAAAGCAACTATATAAAATCAAATTATTTTCTTTTATTATGTTCTTAAAGAACACTTACACCCATATATTAGCCTTGTTGAAAATACTGTAAGTTATCTTACCCATCGAAGCTGCCCATCACTGGTGAGCTGCCTGTAGAATCCTCGAAAATCACTGATTATGTCATCCAAATCTTTATTAATTATGTGAATTGACAGTGCATGGACTGCACTGATAACTGAAAAAAATAATCACCATCTAGAGGTTACTACAAATACAGTATTACCATATCTATTCATTTAGAATATGGTGAACAGTGGAAAAAACCCCCTAAATATAGAAAAAAACAATCTAATTGTAATTGTTATCTAAGAAACTTTTGTTATTGGGTATATTAAAGTAACACACGTAGACACACAAGATAGGTCCCAGAATCTGTCTCTCTTTCTATAAAAATAGAAATTCCAGTACTGACATAGTGAGGTCTAGGAATGTTTTTCTAGGCACACACAATTCAATTCCAATAAACTTCAGATGTCGACAAAAAAAAGGAGGCAGCTTGTAGGTATGTTGTAATGGAGAGAAGGTAAGCAACAAGCAGAGCAAGGTAAACTCAACTATTACATTTTTAAAGCACACATCTACAAATATTGATCACTTACACAAGTCAGAACATGAGTTATGATATTTATTGACAAACCAAAATGGGATTATCGTACTGTTAATTTAGGTTCCTTAAATAAATTGTGACATGTGTTGTGATTAAACCAGTCTTTGAAGTTGAAATAGCAACATGTAAGAAAAGTCTGTCCTGAAGAGGATATTTTCCAAAAGGAAGCAAGGTGTTATTTATTGAAAAATTCTTGTGGTTTGGGAAGCCAACCCTGGGAATAGCACAAGAACTTACCCACTTCTGTGCCTTTTCCCAGCGTAAATGTAAAGCCACAACCTTTCAAGCCATCGGGAGCATCCGTTTCTATTACAACGTAGGCTGCGGAATAGTCTGGATCTGGATGCTAAATAGAAAAATAAAGAAACCTGGGAAAGCAGCGCCACACGAACAATGCTGACTTACACGGGACACAACCGAAAATTGGCGTGGCGTCTATAATCCAAATTGCCTTAAATCGAGATCGCGGGAGTCCAACAAACGGAACTTGCCTCACATTAAGTTCCAGGCAAGCAGGCCTCAATCTTGAGAAAAGGCAGACGGAGCTCTGTTTAACTTGGAGAAAGAGCCCCTAAAGCAGGGGTTCTCAACCTTGGCAACTTTAAGACTTGTGGACTTCAATTCCCAGAATTCCTCAGCCAGCTTTTTTTTTTCTTTCTGGGAGTTGAAGTCCACAAGTCTTAAAGTTGCCAAGGTTAAGAACCCCTGCAAAAGCCTCCCTGGACGAGAAGGAACAGCGCGGAGTAACGCTCTTGCAAGTTGCGGTAGAACTGGGTCAAAGAACTTTTCGGCACCCTCGCACCTGAGGCCGGTGCTGCTTGCCCTCCCGCCGTCCCCGCCCTCGCTCTGCCGAGCACCGCTGCGCTTACCATGGCATCTGAGCCGTGGTGAGCCAGAGACGTGGGGAAGCGGACATCGCTCACAGCCAGACCCCTGATCCTCCCTCTCCCCATCCCGCAAGCAGCGCTCGCCACTCAAGGAAGCAAGACAGCGACTCTCGCGCTTGAGAATTCCTCTTAGACGCCGATTGGCGTGCAGGAAGGGCGTGGCGGCCCTGGAGAGGGGAGGGAGCTGGAGGAAGGGGCAACCGGCTTGTTTACTGCGCGTCGTGTTCTTCCCCTTCTCTGTCAAACAGAAGTTGAGCTTTTGTTCCCAACCTCTGCAGTTGGTTGTCAGGTCAAAAGCGTGTGTGTGTGTATGTGGTCTAGGAAAACTTTATAAATGGGCAACCCTAATCCTTTAAAGAGGTGTAGAGCTGCTTACGTCTTTCAGTAGCCGAGTAAATACGTCCGGTGTTTTGGGGAAGGGGAGGCGTTTGGCAGCAATTCAAAAGTGGGTTGGTTTTTTAAAAAAAGTATTTTCCAGATTATTTTTCAATTTCCGGATTTCCGGATGGCGTGTCATCCAAGCCCTAGCTCAGGGGTAGGCAACCTTGGCTCTTTTATGACTCGTGGACTTCAACTCCCAGAATTCCTGAGCCAAGCTGGCTCAGGAATTCTGGGAGTTGAAGTCCACGAGTCATAAAAGAGCCAAGGTTGCCTACCCCTGCCCTAGCCACATCCAATCCTGCTTAGCTTTTTCAAGTTTAGATAACGTCGTTAAGAATACAGATCCTAGATGTAGTTCGCCATCCACGCATCTAAAAAAAGCTTTAAAGTGACGTCCAGAACGTCAAACCATTCCCAACCCCCTCTCCTTTCCCCTCCCCTCCTTATAAGATCCATCATGGGTTTATTAGAAAGGGCATCGCCAAAGAGGTTCTTACTGTTATTAATCCTTTTTCTGAGGATTTTGCTGATACAAACTTACAGGATGTTAACTCTAAGTTAGTTTTTGGTTTAATTTTATTGCATAACAATAGTATGCATAGTGGCATACGACCACTCTTGTCAATTAAAAATGTTACTGTAGAACTGGTTCAATTCATAAGTTATATATGACTTAACTTTGTCTATGCCACGGATGTCAAACTTGCCACCTCGTGTGACGTATCGCGACTCTTTTTCCATTGCCGGCAATGGTTTGGGCGCTGCTTCGGGGTGATGAAACCGGCCTGTGGGCCGGTAGTTTGACACCCCTGGTCTATTCAGTTAGGTCAAATTTAGGCTTAATTTTATTGCATAATAATAGTATACATGCTAGCATAATCACTCTATCAATTAATGTTGTAAATTATATTTTAGAATTTTAAATTTTGAAACTTGTAGAAAGGCAAGTGTCCCCAATACCAGTTTCTATTCCACAGCCGATAAATCAGTGGTTCTCAACCTGTGGGTCGGGACCCCATTTGGGGTCGAACGACCATTTCACGGGGTTCGCCAAACAATGCAGTCTGCCATTTTTTTTCTTCCTTTTCCTTAGCTGTGCTACTCCCTTTTATTCTATTGGCTTTTGAAAGCCAATAGAATAGACTCTCTTGAATAGAGTCTAATTCTATTGGCTTTCAAAAGCCAATAGGAATTGTCCAGGCTGTCTCTGCCCTGCTGAGCCGCCAAAAGTCCCATTCTGCAAACGGTGCTGCACCAGTTGAGTAGTCCTCGACTTACGACCGGTTGAGTAGTCCTCGACTTACAACTGGTTGGGGGTCGCAACATTAAAAAGGTTGAGAACCACTGCGATAAATACTATTTTGTGCTCCATAACAAATTTAGAGGAATGTTAGAATTTTAACATGTATCATGCTAAAAACAATGTTGGGGATGCACTTACACAAAAAGAGTCGCTTAAGAAAAGTTAATCTGTTTAAATTTCCATACAATATTAATCCATTTTTCTACTTTAGTAACAGAAGATGCACTAATTAAGCTTTGGGAAGTTTAATTATGCAAAAGTAATAAAATATTAAAAATATTTAAGCTTGTCAATATAGTATGATAGGAAAACCAAACAAAATAAAAGGTTACCACACAAGGTAGCTTCAACAAAACTGATACACAAGGCTTGCAATACAGTTTCTATCAGAAATGTTATACAATAGTTTTCAATACAATATAAAAATCATTCTTAACTGATTAACAATGATTACAGTACAGGAAGTGCTGAAAATGCAATAAACATAGGAATTGAAAATGTAATAAATTTGCATTTGTTATTCTGAAAATTGTTCTAGTAATTCTACTTTTTTAAAAATAGTGTTACTGGAGATGCTGGGTCATGCTGTACAGTATTGACAAAAGAATAAGATTGTGCAGGAGGCATGGAATAAAATTCACAAAAAATAGTTTGAGGTTATACTGGACTTTCCCATTGAAAGATCCAATGAAACTAGGAGCCCTATCAGAAAATCGTGGCACCCTTTGTTTCTAACTGAAAATGTGTAGAAATTGTGCTTATTGCTCCCTGTCCAACGAAGGACAATTAATTTAGTAGGAAAGTTACCACTTAGACAAAAGGGGATACAGTACTTTCTTAACAGTTAACCACCAAATCACATAGCGCAGGAAGAAGAAATTCCAAGATCTTTACATTGTTATAAGTAGCTCCTTCCCATCCCTAGCCTTCACTTGTCTTCAAGATTGTGGAAACATACTTCATGATTTTTTTTATGAGGGCCCATCGTACAGTATCCACCAAAATTTCTAAACAGAGATACTTCATCCCAGAGACCATGAGATGTATGCATATCTATTGTGTTTATAAAGTAACAAAGTGCCTTATGCACACATTTACAATGTTAGCAAATATAAGAAAGTGCCTTATGCACATGTAATGGTTAGTGTTTTCCAATATTTAATGGAAGATGACAGTGCATTTTAAAGAAGTAGCATTCCAGTTTCATACAGTGGAAAGAGACTTCCTGTGAAAGAACAAGTGTGCTCGTGCACACTGTCTGGCTTAGCTCCTTCTGCTATTAGATACCAGTTAAACAAATCAAGAAAAATTAAAATTTAAAAATGCAAATCAGGAATAATGTCTGAGTTCAATTTCTTGATTTGGGATCCCGCGCTTGTATCAATAATAGAAGTTTCTTGATTTGCTTAGCTTATACTCACAGAAGAAGCATAAGTATCATTTAATAATAATGTATGCTTGCTTTGGCTTATTTTGATATGCAAACCTATCCAGAGAAAGGACTAAAAAAAATTCTAATATTTTTAGGGCAAGAAAAAAAATCTTATAAGTGAATCATGGCTCTTCAAGATGATGTATTCTGTTGAAATCTACTAACAAATACAAATAAAATAACATACTTCAGATTATTCTATAAAGATCAAGAAATATAAAAAGAAATAGAGCAGTGCTATGCATGTCAACTTGTAAGCCTCACTGAATTAATTACATTTAGTCAATTAAACGTAGTATAGATAGGATTGTTTCATTTCAAAGCAACTTGGAACTTATCAGGTTATTTTCTTAAAAAATAATTTTGTAATTAGAACTTTAAAAGCAATCTTGTGAAACAAATTCAACATCATATTTTATAAAAATAATCACACTTTTACATGTATTACTATATATAGAAAAGTGTTTGTTGAATTATTTGCTCACATTAAAATCTTGAGGTAATACACTATAAAATAAGGAAAAACAAACATGGAAGGTATAACGCTTAAAATACATATTTTTCTTCAATAAACTCATTAAATTTCTGTTTTTTAATTTCAGTATTATACATTTGTTACAATGATTTGTTGCATTTTAATTAAAATCCAAATAACACCAGACTAGTTTTCTGGCATATGCATTATTAAATAAACACAACTGCACTACCCATTTCAGAATATAAAAGAAATTACAATCCTGTATTATTTGCTACATAGCCCTTTCAAAATTTCATAGTTTTGGGATGTATAAACGAGAAAAGAAAATGCCACTTGATTGCACAATTTTATAAGTTTATATAAAATCTGGGCGGTTTTTTTGATAGCAGTAATTATCATTTTCACAGAAAAGCTTTGAAGTGCAACATTTGTTTCGAGTGGAAAATTCTAAAATGCCAAGAGGATTTTATTGCTTGATATGATAAGAGGTTATGATAGCTCCTACTCCCCAGTATACTTGCAAGTAGTGTATATGTGCAGTTTTAATATCATTAGTTGAATTTGGCTTAGGTGCTCAGTCTATTGGTATAGCTTAAAGCTATACATAATGGTTACGAAAAATCTAACTCTTCACAAGAAGATGGATTCAGCCCACTCTTATTTTTGATCTGATGGTTTTGTAAAGAGTTTTAGGAATCGTTATGCAACCATTTATTGTCTAGTTGACTGGGAATCACTCTGTATTATTAGAAAGTTGGGCTACTGTCCAGTATCATTATCCCAACACTTACAATGTTGGGCTAAATCCAGAATTCTGACAACTCTGTGAACTGCAGAAATGGGAAAACAATTCACATCAATCCCTCCATTCTTTACCTCTGTCAAAGTATGCTGTGGGGGTTGGAAGATGTTCCAGAATAGTATGAGGGGCTATGTCTCCCCACATAGAAGTTCATTTCATTCATTGAGGTTCATATCTAGATCTGATCCATTGATGGGCTCTCAGATCTTAAACAGTGTTTTTCATAAATGCTTTGACAGAGAAGCTGTGCAATCTAGTGAATCCCTGAACATTTTAATTGATGAGTCTTCATAAGCATTTGCCACTTTACTTCCTTTTTCAGATGTGTCTTCTAAATATATATAAAAAACTGGGATATGTTTCACTGGAAATTGGAACTTTGAAACACTACATCTTGAAGGTTAAGATGTTATCTTTAACCTCTATTGCATTCTGCAGTTTCAGGTTTAACATTGTACTCTAGTAACTTAATTACAAAATGAGTTAATGGTTTATGAAGTTAACTTCATTCTTAATTGTACTATGTAGGAAATAAAATATGCTACTTTCCAGTTATGATTTATTAATATAAAGTTTCAGCACAGTGCAACATGCTTTTCAGTTCCATTATTGAGGTCTAGTATTTAATCAAGTGTATCATAAATTACTTGCTTTAAAATTAAATTTTCTTTGAAGTTGACTCCTGGTGACTTCGCATACATGTAGTTTTTTGGGGAACAATACAGAGTTAATTTTTTTTCCTTTCCATTTCCTTCATCCATATTTTTCCCGTTTTCCAACCTAGTCTATAGCTACAGTGTTCCTGAAACTTTTCCAAGAACTAACCACGTCTACCTTCTGAATTCAGAGAAGGTTGGTCAAGTGCTACCATCTGCTGAGAGCTACCCTAGCTAGATCAATAGGAAATGAGCCTCTAGACGCAGGGGTCCTCAACCTTGGCGACTTTAAGGCTTGTGGACTTGTAAAGTCGCCAAGGTTGAGGACCCCTGCGCCTAGAAGAAAACCTTGTATTTAAAGCCCTCTTAATACTAACATAGAATTGTTGGTCCCATAAACTATTTTGTTATCCTTTGACCATTTTCATTTACAGGTTTATTTAAATAGCTGATGTTGCCTTTAATAATGACCTAAAAGTTAGAAGAAAAAGAAACAGCAGCTCCACTGTTATAGCAATGCTAATTTTACCACCCATTTTTTCAGTGTATTTTTTTTTTTGGACCCTGATATAATATGGGAGAAAAATGTGTCATTGATACATTTATATACAGGTATAACACTTTAAAAAGTGGTTTTGTGCAACCATATTTCAGAATTCCAGTTTGCCAGCTAAAAAGAGCATGCAAATTGCAATTTGCTTTCTTTTGAGTTCTTCCAATTAGCAAGAAATTTTAAAAAAAAAGTACTCTACATTTGGCATATTTGTGCATGGGATGTAAGCCATCAATTTATAAATTGTCTCCAGGCTGGTACTGTGGTTCCGTAGCAGTAAAATAATCTTCTAAGAAAGACTGAATATATTCAAATGTTGGCCTTTCATCGGGATCTTTCTTCCAACAGAGTTTCATTAATTCATGAAGAGATTCTGGGCATCCCTGAGGACAAGGCATTCTATATCCACGTTCCACTTGTTCTAAAACTTCCCGATTGACCATTCCTAAAATTAAAAGAATAGTTTTAATATTTATATTTTATCAAGTCGGAAGAGGGTTTCAAAAATCTGTCACTGTTTACTTGGAATGGGTATTTATAGATCGTATTCACACCATTAAATACTTTTTAAATTTTGAACTATTCCAAACTATAGCTTGTTTGGGGAAAGTCCAACTCTGGCCTGAAACTAGAGTTTATATTTGGATTATTGAACACAATAGTGGCTTAATGTAATATGTCCATATGTTGTTTCCCAGTTTATCCCCAATGTATTTTTCTGCCTCTGGGACACTCCAAAGAGATGTAAGAGAACAGTAGAAAAAAAGAAAAAGAAAAAAAAGAAAAGAAAAAAACTAGGAAGAAACTGGTTGTATAAATAACACAATTATTTTGCTCATCAAAGGTTAGCTTTGGCTTCTTTAAAAACCTATGGTAAAAATGATCTGGCATACTATACTGTATGTTATTTATGAACACAGTGAATTTGATGTTCTAAAATAGTGTGGCTCTACATTTTTTAAACATTGAATTGCAGCTTCCGTATCATAGCTAGTTTGCATTTACTGTAGTATTTTCTCAAGTATGGTACTAGCTAACACAATTTATTTCATTAGAATAGCTGATTATAAAAAAAACCCCTAACATAAATAACAGATGATGCAATGATATAACACATTAGTAATGATAATTTCTTCTTTTACCTGGATATGGCACACGTCCCTTTGTTACAAGCTCTGTCAACAAAATTCCAAATGACCAGACATCAGATTTAATTGTAAACCGACCATATAGTGCAGCCTCAGGTGCTGTCCATTTAATTGGGAATTTGGCCCCTAAACATAGAAAATAATGCCTTTTAATATTATAATTTATAATTATTTTAAAAATTATTTTGGTGGTACAATATACATATATGATTCTTATGGGAAAGGATAATTTGATAATGTCTTCTATTGTTATAATAGCATCCATTCTATTAAACATAAGAACTAATCTAGAGATTGGATCTCTTTCTGCTGGAAAAGAACTGCAAAGGTATCTTTCTTGTACTCAAAGAGAAAAGTCTAATTGAGAATACATGTGGGAGTAGAACGTGGGTGACAACAAAGTGAGTAATACTGTCAAATTAACATATGGTTAATGGTACTCCTGTCAAGGCTGAGGTTGTTCTACACAGATAATGGAGAAAATCTATGCATTTTAGAATGCAGTTTGGTAACTACTGTAAAAAAGTTGCCAAATCTGTGTATGTGGAAAACTAGCACATAATTATTCTTTCTATTATACAAATGACTTGCATGGTATACATAACATGTACATAACAACTGCAGCTTTCAGAACCTGACTATAATCTGAAGTTCAGATGGTACTGTTCCTTTATAAACTGTTTGGCAAATAACCTTGAATATGAATCATGGTATGTTGCAAAGTTTAATAATAAAACAAATCCCTATTCAAGAACAATTTTACTTTTGGAGAGATAAGGATTTATTTTGGCAATTTATATTGTTGATAAATAATTCAACAAATTCAGAAAACTGTTTTAGAAAAGATAGAAGTATATTGAACAATCCACTTTAGAGAATGTCCAGTTTCTATTGCTAATGACTATAGTAAATGGGAAAAAAATAAAGAATATGCATTCTATCTCAGAAAGTATTAAAATATTAGTAAAGCACTTAGTCAAACTAGAACACAGAAGATATAATCATAGGGTTGGAGGAGACCTTGAGGTCTTCTAGTCCAGGGGTCCCCAACCCCCGATCTGTGGACCAGTACCGGGCTGCGGCATGCCAGTAATCGGTCTGCACAAACAAGCAAAGACCCATCCGCGAGATGCAGCGCAGAAAACCATGCACCCTATGATCCGCAGAAAAACCTCTCTCCACGGAACCGGTCCCTGGTGCCCAAAAGGTTGGGGACCTCTGTTCTAGTCTAATCCCCTGCTTAAGCAGGAGACCCCTATATTTCAGACATAAACTAACTTGAACTGATCAAGAATTCAATAACACATTATACATATTAATAAAACAATATTTACCATATTAGACAGTACATAAAGAATATTGTAAATACCTTGTCTAGCAGTGTACTCATTGTCTTCTATTAATCTTGCTAATCCAAAATCAGCAATTTTGCACACCAGATTATCCCCTACAAGGATATTAGCTGCTCGAAGATCTCTATGAATGTAATTCATTCTTTCAATGTATGCCATGCCATCAGCAATCTTATAAAAAAAAATGTATCCTATTATCAAGCAGTATTCAATCAATGAAATACTTAACACAAATCATGAAAATGATTCACCGGGTACATGTTACAAACACAATAGCAGATTTACAATGTTTAGATTCCATAATATGTAGCAATATTATTTTGCAACAGAATTAAATAATCTTAAATTAGAAAAGTCTATATTCTTTTTGTACTCTGAGTATTACATAAGACATTGTACTTGTGCAAAGCAATTTTCTAGAACATTCTCTAGCTGACTTTTTTGGGTGGAGGCTCATGCTTAAAGTGTCTGCTCACAATGAATTGCCCAGAATTCTATTTCTGGCTATCAAAGAGGCAACCACCCAAAATTTCTGTTTAAGACTTTCCCTACACTATTTTTCACATTTTCCCTTTTAATTTTTTCTTTTGTCTTTTCTATTTTTGGTCTTTTTGCTTAGTGTTTTTTTTTACCAAGACTTGACTTCTTAATGTATGGTCCCTTGGCCTTCTTAAAGAAAACCATTGGTTTCAGAAATAAAATTCTAATACTAGCAGTTAATTCCAAATGTTTGTTTTTAGTTCGAGGGACTACTTGCCATATGCCATCACTGTTTTATTCTACAGATGCATCTTATTTGATGATTTTCCCGAGACTAGGTGTTGTAAATGAACCAAATGCAGAGAGTAAATATCTGCCTTCTATGAAAGTCTGTGCATAGGACAAAATTTACAGTCAGTCTCTACTGTTTTTTAATACCTGCTCTGGCTTTGATTCTCTGAGTTCTAAGACCAGATTTTCCTATGTCTATTTTGAAATTAAGAGCTATGTATTTTGACACCAGGCCACTTGATCTTGGTGAAGATAAGAAAGTGAAGTAAACTTGGGAAGACAACAAAGTGAAAGAGAATTGCACCCTAAATTTATCCCATCTTCTGCTGCTCTACTTTTTATTTCGGTCTCCACAGTCTCCTATTGGATAACCGGAACTTTCTTTGGCATTTAAGTAGATGTCATCCATATGCTTCAGCTTCATTCTCTTTTAAAAAGTGTATGTATGTTGCATCACTGGCTTCCATCTCAGAATATGAAACTTATTTATCTGCATTTCTTCTTTAGAGATTGGGAGAGTGCAATATATTCTTCCAGATGTTACTTCAATCTGAAATGAATACTCATTGAATGAGGACTACCTGTAGTAATTATTTAGAGAGATGTTGAGCCTTCTGCCTGAATAGCACATAGAGCTCAATTCTACTTGGCCAATTCTTTGTAAAGTGACCTCACACACCACTTCAACCTATCTAAATCTTTTTGTCTTTGAGGGAAAATCTTGCCTTTGTCTGATGCAAATAGTGTGGTATAGATGGGTGAGCCTGGGTTCAATCAAGTTGGAGGTTATTTGCATTCAATCAAGTGCATTAATTCATGGAACTTGCCATGTTTCTTATTGACTAGTCAAACTTGAATATTGTATTTCATTTATTTGATTTTGAAACAGCTGAATCCCTCAGCAACTCTGGGCAGTTTGTAATTAAAAGGAATAGAATAAGAAATATACAGGTAGTCTTTGTTTAACAACTGCCTCATTTGGAGACTTTTGCAGTTATGAAAGTGATGGTAAAAGCAACTTTATGATCATTCTTCACATTTATAACCTTCACAGATCTATAAACACAAAGGATCTACTGTTGCATTCCAACCTAGCCCAGAGAAACTCCGTGAGTGCATCCTACCCTAGCACTGGTATATTTCAAATCACATTTTTAATAATTCACATTTAATAATTTAATAAATAATAAAAATGAATTATTGTAGCAGATATTCTCAGCTATATTTGGACTGTGGCACAGGACTTCAAATTGCTATCCTGTTTCTTTGACTGAATTTTTCATGGTTTAGGAACGATCATTTTTTTTCAACTTTCTTCCCTTATCCTACCAACCACACTGAAATAACCATTTCGATATGAAAAGGAGTTTTGTCTTTTACCTTGACAGCATGAAATCATTTCATTTGATTCAAACTTTCTTCATTTGCTACCTAACAAAAATTTTCCCACTATTGAAATGATTTTGTTTGACAAACTACAACATCTGCCTGTGCCATCTGTTGTTTGTGGGCAATTCCCCCAGGGCAGTTACTGCAATGTCTGAATCACATATTTAGGACCTCAGTTATGTCTATACCATCTGCATTTGCGAAGCCTAAATTATAGCAGATATCAGTTTTGAACCTGCTATTATTTCCCCCATTTTGATGTGATAAGATAGCTTTTCTCCCATATATTTTGTTCATAGTAAGTTCTGACAAGTTTAGAAGTAAATAGCATGAAATGAATGCGATTATTATATTATCATAATAAGGAATAACTAGAAACTATGTTATTTGCCCAAAAGAGAGAATTTTAGGGCCATTGCACTGTGCACATGTGGACACAAGACACAAAACTTTGAATGTTGATTTCACTATAAATAGGGTTTGCATTTGACACATAGTAGACACTGGAATTCGTTCATATTGGCGTTATTAGGTTTGCAGTAGACACTAATTGGAAACCTACATTCTTGAATGCTCTCTGCTTATGCCACTACTTATAAGTGTTTCTGAAAAAGGCCCAACAGATATAATCCATAAAAACCCACAAATTATAACAAAAGATTGCTTACATGTCACCTGTCATGTTGATTCACCATGTTACCCTCTGCAGGATACTTTCTTTGAGTATACTAGCAGTCTGAGAGGTTCAGTGGGCAGATACTTTAGAAAAGGCTTTTCCAAGGTGTAGCTCTCTTGGGGAGGTGCAGACTAAGTCCAGGTGAGGTGTGAAGAACTTTCTAGTTATATTGTTAGAATAAATTATCCTTTCCCAAAGTTCCATTGTAGTTTTTCATTTGTATTTATGTTGCTGTTTGGATTTTTAGGGAAGTTGTGTACGTTAAACTTATATTAAAGGGGAAGTGTAATGACAAAAAGTTTAGAAATTCCTGCTTTAGAGAATCTTCTCACCCAAAAAACTGAACTTGAGAATGTTCCAGAATGCCTTACTATATAGGCACAAACCTATGCAGAGACTGCCTGAAGATCTATATTTATTATCAGACTGTTGACAGAATGGGCAACTACTTTTAGCGTTTTCTATAATATTCAATGGCTGTAATATTGGAATGTTTTAATAATCAAACAATATATTTTAATAAGTACCTGGGCAGCCATATCCACCAGTTGGGGAAGCTTTAAATATTTCCCTTCTCCTTCCTTGAGAAAATCTAGTAAGCTTCCTACAGAAAGATACAAAAACAGCAGTTTCCTTTAATCCAATTGTAGTAATGGTATTACAATACTTTAGTTACATTTTAGTCTCAAACTCTATATATACTTCAGGCATAGTTAAAAATAAAATTCTATTAATATCAATATAAAACTAACAGATAAAGCTTACTATGTAGTATTTTGGAATGAGTAGTAATTTTGGGCATGTATAAAATAAAACATATTTAATCAAATCCTTTGGATATATCATAGTTTTAACAGACATTTGCAACAATTTAAATATTAATGGCTGTATACGTGAGCCCCCCCATCCCCCAAAAGCAAATATGCAGTTTTGTGAGCTAGGAGTTTATTATAATTTGTATGGTTTATTTGTTTGTATTTATTGATTTATACCCCACATTTATTTATTCAAAAGTGACCTATGCAAATAAATATGAATTCAATATTGGATTTATTTTCTATGTCATGGGCAGAAGTCAAGTAATGTTGCTTCAAGACATATAAAATAGTACCTGGATTAGAGATAAACATCTATTCAGGGCTTGGGAGGGGGATATTAAGATTTGTCTGAATGTGTAAGCAGTCTTCACAACAAGGCTGCCATAGGAGCATCGCCTATTCACAATAAGTCTGCAGTGGAAGGAATTAGCCAGTGACAAAAAACTGATGAGAATGGTCTCTGTTTTACTTTCTCACTGACAGGATACTGTTTTCAGCCCCACTTTTCTTTTTATTTCTGGCAGCAGATACCCATTGTTTTATTTTATTAAGAATTTTGGGGCCTATATAAAGCTCAGAAGCATCCTTGTAAACAAAGGTAACATTAGAGACCGACTTTGCTGTTTTCTAGCTTCTTGCCTAATTATTTCAATTAAATGACTCTTCAAGGAAGCCTGAAGTTAGAAGGTGTTGCTGCTTTACCTCTGAGTGTTTTTCCCCCAGTCATGAAACATTGTAGGTCAGAACTTTGAAAGGATAAGCAAATGCAAAAGATGTCTGGATTTACTAAAATATATGTCTACCAATTTCCTGAAACTGCAAAAAATGGCAATAATTCTTTGTTATCTGTTGTATATGTAAGAGCACTTAATGCTGCAAGAACTGGAGCAAAGACAGACCAATGGCATTTTTATCACAGTTAATATCAAAATAGGCAAACTTTTGGTGCCCAGAAGCTTCACTTAACATTTTTTAAAAGATAGCAATAGCACTTAGACTTATATACTGCTTCACAGTGCCCTCTCTAACTGGTGTAGGATTCGAAAAGTTAGAATGATGAAGAACTAGATAATGTCATGTCAACTAGATTGATTTTCCTGGATTTGGAGAAGAACAAATATTATGGAATATATTTTGGAGGTTACACTATGGTTTTACATATTTGCTGTTTCAAAGTATCAGGAAAGTGTGCCTCTAATTTGTTAACTGAATGGGTCTAGGAATTATATAAAAGGGCTCTGCAATCATATATACCTAATTATAAACCATAGTTTGCAAACCACAATGATTGTGAACTTAAATCAAAATGACTTGGTATGATGTATGTTCCTAGCTGGAATTTCATTCTCCCAAATACAATAAAACTGACTTCTTTATAATTCAAATGTAAAAAGCTCCATAAAGTTAAATAATATTGGATATGCTCACATCTACAAAATATCAACTACAGCATTGCTTTTAATAATGCGGGTTGTCCTTGACTTACAACCTGAATTACAGCCAAAAATGTTTATTGTTAAATGAGACATGTGTTAACTGAGTTTTGTTCCATTTTACAATCTACAGGTGTTAAGTGAATAACTATAGTGGTTAAATTAGTGTCACGGTTGTTAAGCGAATCTTGGCTTCCCCACTGATTTTACTTCTTAGAAGGTCACAAAAGGGTATCACATGACTCTGGGACACTGCAGCTGTCATAAACACGATCAGTTGCCAAGTGTCTGGATTTTGATAATGTGGCCGAGGGGATGCTGTAACCATCATTAAGTATGAAAAATGGTAATAAGTCACTTTTTTCAGTGCCATTATAGATTTGAACAGTCACTAAACAAACTGTTGTAAATTGAGGATTACCTGTGTTTTTAGTCTTTCATACCTTAAGTCCCATCAATTAATCTGTCAAAGACCCTAGATCTTATCGTGGCAAAAAACCCCTCTTTTTCATTTATATGTCAACAGACATTCATTTCTTACAGTTCTTGTTTAGAATAAATTTTGAAGATATGATAAATAAAATTCCAATGACTTACTCTGAGTGCCATCTAGGTAACTTCTGAATTATATTTGTGCTATGTGTATCACTGGTTGAAAACCAATGACTCACAGAATCATTGAGCTTTTGTGGTTTCTTTCCTCTTCTCTTTTGTTTACCACAAAAGATGACTAAAAGCATTTGCTTTCATTTTCACATAATAAAAATACAACTGAGAACTATAAGTAATATTAACTATATTGAACTTTGTTCAAACAGGTTATAATGCAGCAATTGCTTAAATAATGCTTCATAACATCTATAGTTTATTACCTGGACAATAACAAACTCCAGGTAGTTGAAAACAAAAAGCAAACATTTCCAGTTTCCCATTGTGACTGCTGAAGTGCTCAGAATACAGTATAGTGTTACATTTGTTCATGGGCATAATTTAGGTATCTGATCTGAGATACTTTAAAAAAACATCAGTTTTCTTTTTGGGACAGAGGAAATAATCTTTCATATGGCTGTTTCCACAAACAGCTCCTTTCTTTATAGAAGCAAAATCCTTATCCACAGAGCTATATATCCTTTTATTCATATAAGAAATCCTACAATCTCACACAAAACATTCTGATCTTCATTAGAAATACTGAGAAATAATATTCTTATATTACTCTTAATATGAGAATAATACTAAGAAAAAATAAAATTAAGCAAATATTTTTATTTCACATAATTTTAATTTAATAATTAATTCATGTAACTATCTGATTCTTGCAAATATTAATGTCTTTTATATACACCAGGTGTAACCTCCCAGTGTTATATTTACACTCTCTCACATCAAACCCCACCCCCCACCCAAATAATCAGCATCCAGCCGGAAGGTGTTAAATGGCCGACAGCAATACCCATCAACCTCTTGCCTCAGTTGTCTGTGACCACGCCCCAGCCGCGTCCCAGTTCACTTCGTCCCAGCCAGCCACAAACTCCTCACTACCACCTTGACTGCTTCCCCGGTGAGTCCACGACTATCGGATGTCCTGTGGGTCGTCGGCGAGCTGGCGCGACTCCAGAATTGGTTCTCCGGCCGCCTGGCGTCCCAGCAACCCATCAGCTGTTCTGTGGGCTGGGAAACGCCGCTGGGGACGACAGGCATGTGCCCACATGCCAGCTGGTTCACAGCTGAGGCTCTGGCTGGCTGGAAATGATTGGATTGCTGCCATCTTTGGTTGCGGAAATGGTTGGATTCCCTGTGCGCCGTCCTCATCCTCCCCCCCACCTATTCATGTCGAGCCTGGAGTGCTTGACACCAGGCAAGTGCTTCCTGAATATGTTTCTTGCTGACTGCCAGCAACGTTATTAAGAAAAAAATAATATGAAATGATAGTTTTGTCTTTTTTTTAAGGGGGCAAATTTATTTATTTACTTATTTAATTAAAAAATCTGATTGCCACCCATCTTAGAACCATAATTCTGGGTGTCTCACAACAATTATATAAAACCAATATTATACAAAAATGAAACAACCCCCTCCCCAATAAAAACAGTAAGAAAGAAACCTGGTGCCATAACTAAACTTCCTTGATGCAGTCCACACACAGTTTTCTAACTCTAACTTACCTGTTTCAGTGGGGAAGAACCAAAATCTGCAATGAAAGCCCTGGCAGACACTTCTAGGAATCTATCATGATAAAATACTTTTCTGTCTATTCTGCCCTAATAATTCCATAGTAAATTCATAGTAAATTCTCGTTGCAAAATTTAGGCTTAAATTGAAAAAAGTAGGGAAAAGCACTAGGCCACTCAGGTATGAACTAAATCATATTCCTAATGAATATACAGTAGAGGTGACAAGTAGATTTAAGGAATTAGATCTGATAGACAGAGTGCCTGAAGAACTATGGATGGAAGTTCGCAACATTGTACAAGAGATAGCAACTAAAACCATCCCAAAGAAAAAGAAATGCAAGAAAGCAAAATGACTGTCTGAGGAAGCTTTGCAAATAGCTGAAGAAAGAAGGGAAGCGAAAGGCAAAGGAGAAAGAGAAAGATGCACCCAATTGAATGCAGAATTCCAGAGAATAGCTAGAAGATATAAAAATGCCTTCTTAAATGAACAGTGCAAAGAAATAGAAGAAAACAACAGAATAGGGAGGACCAGAGATCTCTTCAAGAAAATTGGAGATATTAAGGGAACGTTTCATGCAAAGATGGGCATGATAAAGGACCAAAATGGCAGAGACCTAACAGAGGCAGAAGAGATTAAGAAGAGATGGCAAAACTACACAGAAGAAATATACAAGAATGAGCTTAACATCCCAGATAACCACAATGAGATGGTCATTGACCTCGAACCAGACATCCTAGAATGTGAAGTGAACTGGGCCTTAGAAAATCTGAGCAACAACAAAGCTAGTGGAGGTGACAGTATTCCAGCTGAGCTATTCAAAATCTTAAAAGACGATGCAGTAAAAGTGCTACACTCAATTTGCAAGCAAATTTGGAAAACTCAACAGTGGCCACAGGATTGGAAAAGGTCAGTTTACATTCCAATTCCAAAGAAAGGCAATGCCAAAGAATGTTCAAACTATCGCACCATTGCACTCATTTCACATGCTAGTAAAGTTATGCTTAAAATCCTACAAGCTAGACTCCAGCAGTATGGGGATCGAGAACTACCAGAAGTACAGGCAGGATTTCGAAGAGGCAGAGGACCTAGAGATCAAATTGCCAACATACGCTGGATCATGCAGAAAGCTAGGGAGTTCCAGAAAAACACCTACTTCTGCTTCATTGACTATGCAAAAGCCTTTGATTGTGTGGATCACAACAAATTGTGGCAAGTTCTTAAGGAGATGGGAGTACCAGACCATCTCATTTGTCTCTTGAGAAACCTATATGCGGTCAAGAAGCAACAGTGAGAACTGGACACGGAACCACTGATTGGTTCAAAATTGGAAAAGGAGTCCGGCAAGGCTGTATACTGTCGCCCTGCCTATTTAACTTATATGCAGAGCACATCATGAGAAAGACAGGGCTAGATGAATCAAAAGTTGGAATTAAGATTGCCGGGAGAAATATCAACAACCTAAGATATGCAGATGATACTACGCTAATGGCAGAAAGTGAAGAGGAACTAAAGAGCCTCTTGATGTGGATGAAGAAGGAGAGTGCAAAAGTTGGCTTGAAACTCAACATTAAGAAAACCAAAATCATGGCATCCGGCCTCTCAATTCCTGGCAAATAGATGGGGAAGAAATGGAGGTAGTGACAGATTTTATTTTCCTGGGCTCCAAGATCACCTCAGATGGGGACTGCAGCCAAGAAATTAAAGACGCTTGCTCCTGGGGAGGAAAGCTATGGCAAATCTAGACAGCATACTAAAAAGCAGAGACATCACCCTGCCAACAAAAGTGCGTATAGTCCAGGCCATGGTTTTCCCAGTTGCAATGTATGGCTGTGAAAGTTGGACCATAAGAAAGGCTGAGCGCCAAAGAATTGAGGCTTTGAACTATGGTGCTGGAGAAGACTCCTGCGAATCCCTTGGACTGCAAGGCGTTCAAACCGGTCAGTCCTAGAAGAGATCAACCCCGACTACTCTTTAGAAGGCCAGATCCTGAAGTTGAAACTCAAATACTTTGGCCACCTAATGAGAAGGAAGGACTCACTGGAGAAGGGCCTCATGCTGGGAAAGATTGAGGGCAATAGAAGAAGGGGACGACAGAGAATGAGATGGCTGGATGGAGTCACTGAAGCAGTAGGTGTGAACTTAAATGGACTCCAGAAGATGGTAGAGGACAGGAAGACCTGGAGGAACATTGTCCATGGGGTCGCGATGGGTCGGACACGACTTCGCAATTAACAACAACAAAATTCATATAATACTCTTGCTTTCCTATTTGATTTCAATATAGAGGTAAAATGTACCTTTTGTCATGAATTCAGTGACAATGTAGATAGGCTCCTCAGACACTACAGCATAAAGTGGAACAAGTTTATCATGCCTTAATTTCTTCATGATCTGAGCTTCTTGTAAGAAAGCTTCTGGCATCATTGTACCAGGTTTTAGAGTTTTGATTGCAACTTTTGTTGTTCCGTTCCATGTACCTGTGTAATAAATGCAATATACTATCAGTTACAATACAAAGATTTTCAGTGTAATATAAATATTGCAGCAGGATCAGGTATGTGTAAAATAACCAATTTTAAAAAATGTTGAACAGAAGTTAAAAACAATTTTTCAGTGCCTTTAGTCTATGAAATAAGTCTGAAAAGTCCAGTATTGTATATAATGATTTAAAGTGATTCTCTAAGTATTATAAAGATGTTTTCCATTTCAACAATCTAAGATCCTTTTTTAAAATTGGGAGATAATAAGTTCTGGAACTAACCTATTATGCACATAACCCTTAGATTTAATGATAAGAGTTATGGTTCTCCTCATGTAACACTTACCCATCCAAACTTCACCAAAGCATCCTTGGCCCAACTTAACTTCTAGCCGCAAGGATTCTCTAGGGATTTCCCAGGCGTCCTTTGCTAAACCCTGTGTCTGAGGTTTCACAGTTGGACACACAGTTGTTAATTTATGGCACAGGCCATCAGCATGATCTAGCAATCAGAGAAATATTTCTTATGCAGTCATGTATGCAGTCATATATTTCAGAAATATATTGATAAGGCTATGATTTACTTCTAGAATCAGCTGTAGCATTTAGAACCTACCTGTATAGTGTTTGACCAGCTTTTGTAAAGATTCAAATTGTGCTCTTGTTGTTATATAATATCCACCATTGTCAAGTTTTCTAATTTTATAGTGTTTCACATTATCACCTCTAATCTCATCCCAGTCACGTATAGAAAGGGAATAAGCACCTAGAAAAAACAATTTAATATTTGCTTCTGTAAACACACTTATAAACAATTACAAATTCATTATAATTTAATTTTATTCAGTTATAAAGTTAAAGACAGATACCTTTTGTAGTTTCACTCTCTCTGACTAAAAAGATACCACGCTGATTCCCAGGATTTAAAAGTAATCTTTCTGCATCTTTCCTGCCCATTTTACCAAAATACCATCTAAAAAGTTCAAAGAGAAATATGTTCAAGTAAAGATTTAGTTGTAATATTGGATTAACATAGCAATGGAACAATGTTACATTACAAAGATGAGACTGCAAAATATTCATTATAACAGGGGCTTTCCGTATAATTTCATCTCTGATTAGAAATCAAAGTTGTTTCTAAATGTGATATGATCACAAATATATAAGCCAAGAATATGATCTAGAACTTTTATCCAAAAAAACAAAACAAAACCACGTTTCATCTCTTCCATTCAATATTCAGTAACAAACTAATTTTAAATACATGGAGAGTTTCAAAAGCAAATATTCCAGAATACTAGTTTAAACTTTTGAAAAAAAAAAACAAGACAAGTCAGTTGGACTAAAGCAATTACCAGTACAGGTGAAACCAGAAAATACTGTTTGTCACTTTGTTGTTCCTGTATGCTTTCTGTTTTAAATGTGGTTTTGTTAATTTTTTTAAATTACCAAACATGTTAAGCATTGTTTCAGAGGGAGGTACTAAATCACTTTTCAGTGACAATAATCCCATATAAGCAAGCAATAAAAAAAAGCTGCATAGCCGAACCTGCTGATTTACAAAGGAGGTTTATCTGTCTGTCTATCTAGTTCCTGCCTTTATTATTTTTACAAATAATTCAAGGCAACAAATATACCTTCCTCCTCCTATTTTCCCCACAACAACAACCCTGTGGTGTGGGTTGAGCTGAGAAAGAGTGATTATCCCAAGGTTGCCGAGCTAGCTTTCATAGCTAAGGAAGGATTTGAACTCATGATCTCTTGCTTTCTAGATTGGTACCACAACCACTAGACTAGGGGTCCCCAATTCCTGATCTGTGGATCGGTACTGGGCTGTGGCATGCCAGGGAATGCAGGCAGCACACGAAACCACGCACTCTCCAGTCTGCAGAAAAACCTTACTCCACGGAACCGGTTCCTGGTGCCCAAAATGTTGGGGACTTCTGCACTAGACCAAAGTGACTCTTTTCTCTTTCCTCCTCCTCTCTCTCTCTGTTGTTGTTATATGGAACTATAAACAAACTTAAAACAGGCTTAGGTGTTAAGTGATTCTTTTTCTTCCTCTGCAGAGAAAATAGAAGTGTATCCCTCCCCCACTTTCTTTTGTTTCCTATTGTATTGGCTAATAATGCATTGGAGCTGAAGCTCTGAGGGATCCTAGGTGGGTGACATCTGGATTCCAAAAATAACTATAACCATTATTCCCACGAGGATAATACTCCCACTTTAGGTTTTCCTGCATGCCAGGACAAGGGAGAAAGAAACTTGCAAAGTTTATCAGCAATTCTGGGTCAAGGGAACTTTAACAATATGCTTAGAAATTCCATGTATTTCTAAGCTCAGAAACTAGCCAGAAGATTTAAGGAAGCAGATGAGCTTGTTTCAACATAAGGACTTAACTAGCCAGTATGCTGATGTTCATAGATTATACTTACATCTTTGCAAAAAGTATACCAACCAAGATGGTTGTCCATCTTACACACACCATACACACACAATACAGATTTGGAATGTTTTCAACAGAAATCGGTTCCATCAGAATAGACTGTGAAGTCTCTATGATGAGGAGGTGAGACCTCATCATCTGAAATATGGATCTATATCTTTTTCTTGTTAAATAAGAATGAGAAAGTTGATAACTATTTGCAGACCTATTATGTAAGGGGAGGAGAATTTATCAGGTTTTTTTTTTTCAGCATTCAGCTAGGGTGGAATTCTTTTATGTTTAATGTTGGATGTTTTTTTTTCTTTTTTGTACACACTTTTTTTTGTTATTGTCACTGTTGGATGTACTATGTTTTTTTCCTAATTTTTTATGTTTTGTATTTTATTCCCATTGATAAAATGTAACATATTTTTTTAAAAAAAGAAAAGATTGTGAAGTGTCAATAATTGTACCTGTATCAACTCATATTAACACATGTGAAATTGAACCATTTATTCTAAAAATAATCTAAAAATACTTTTTAAGAAAGTCAGTCTCCTCTATACAAAACATATTTAAGAGATTAATTTTAATTCATGCAAATGCTGTAATGGAAGACCACTTGTATCTAATAAGTTTTCTGAGTGATTAAATTCTACTGAATGCCACTGAATTATTACAGATAAAAATGATTAAGGACATTATAAAGTCTTACTCTTCTGCTTGTATGGAATCTGCAGGAGCCACATAATTGCTAGGAATGTAGCCACTCTTTCCTGTTGCAATAGATCTTGCTTCCCACCAATCTCCTTCCCTAGGGAGGACAGGGAAAAATGTAATTAAAGTGAATATATATGAACAACAATAATAAAATCATTTTCAATTATGAAATACTGTGAACGGATACATCATCATCTTAGCTGAGATGTCTATTTACATCTATGAAATAGCACACCAGCTAGACCTTACTATAAATGATGTTTTTTCCTATATAGGGAAATACTATGCAGTAGGAAGAAACATTTGTTTTTTCCTCTAATAAATATGTGATAAATAAAAAACAGAATGACAGAGTTGGAAGGGATCTTGGAGATCCTACAACTTCTGGAGGCAAGTCGTTCCAATCATTAATTGTTCTAACTGTCAGGAGATTTCTCCTTAGTTCTAGGTTGGTTTTCTCCTCGATTAGTTTCCATCCGTTGCTTCTAGTTCTGCCTAAAAGTGCTTTGGAGAATAATTTACCCCCTCTTCTTTGTGGCAGCCCCCCAAATATTGGAACATTGCTATTATGTCACCTCTAGTCCTTCTTTTCACTAGACTAGACATATCCAATTCCTGCAACTGTTCTTCATTTGTTTTAGCCTCCAGTACCCTAATCATTTTTGTTGCTCTTCTTTGCACTCTTTCTAGAGTTTCAACATGTTTTTTATACCATGGTGACCAAAATAAACAGGGATTTAAAAAAAAACCTCAAAACTTCTAATCTTCTTCAAATCTCACTATTGTCAGTAAAAATGTACATTTTACAGAAGAATAACTGAAAAAATAACATTCTCTTAATGAGGAGATGAAAATGATCATATTCAGAGAATACAGTTCCATCTTTAATATACTGGAATCTCTGCTACTAAAATTAGAATTAATTGGTATTAATTAATTAAATCTACTTCTGAAAGTGCCTTATTGCAAATTGCCATATAAAAAGTACATTTATGATTGCATGTATTTGGTTGCATGTCATTTGTTTAGTTTGAAGTTACAACAGCACTGAAAAAAGGGACTTACAACAGTTTTTCACATATGATCATTGCAACATCCCCATGGTCATGTGATCAAAATTTGGACATTTGACAACTGTCATGTATTTATGATGACATCCCGGGATCATGTGATCACCTTTTTTTGCAATCTTCTGGCAAGCAAAGTCAATGAGAAAGCCAAATTCACTTAACAGCTCTGTTATTAACGTAACAACTGCAGCAATTCACTTAACAATTGTGGCAAGAAAGGTTATAAAATGGGGCAAAATTCACTTAACAGCTGTCAATTTTGGGGTCAATTATGATCATAAGTCCAGATCAACCTGTATATACTTGTCTTAGAAATAAAGATAAAAACATTACATTAAAAGCATGTAGTATAATCCAACTTATCATTATAGCTTCTATACTGATCTGTTCTGTAGAAAATAAAGATGACTTTGATAGAGATATTCAAATTCTTGCTAAAGCAAAAGCAACAAGAGTAAAACATTTTTAAAGACCAGAATGTCGAGACAGTAGCTCATATAGACACTTCTCTAATTCACTGAATTATAAGAAGATAGAACAGATACAACACAATAAGACTTGTAAGATTGATATCAGCCATACTAGGTATATGAGATTTAAAAAAAAACCTCCACTGAAAGGCTAGAACTATTTTATTGAGATTGGCTATAATAATAGAATCTTGCAAGTCCAATCGTGTTGTATCTCTTCCTTCTCCTCTTCCTCCTTATGGGTTCATTTTTCTTACTCTTTTATTTTCTTACGACTGAAGTCTTTTCCCTATCAGCAATAATACTATTAACATAGGTAGAGGAATATGAATGGCTAACAGTGTGTAATTAAGTCCATAAGTTGACTAAATACTTACGTATTATTGATTATCTGAAAGCGTTCCCCCTTCTTGAATGAAAGATCATCTCTAGTTCTTGCTTCATAATCGTACAAAGCCACAAAAACAGTAACACCCCCTTAGGAAAACCCAAAAATATGGCATTAATACTTTTTCCTAGACAAAGGAAATACATACAAATCAGATTACACATGTACTATACAAAAGCATTTCACCAATTTTATTTTGAAGAAAATAGATATTCTTAATAAAAAATGAGCAATGTTTATAGTTATAAGTAAAAACATTACCTGAACTCATTCATTGATTTCATAATGGCCTAAGTCTGCAACAGCAGTCAAGGCAATTTATTCATTTGATTAAATACATTAATATTACTACAAAAACTTATTTAATATTTTCATGGTTAAAACAATTTCAAACTACAAAAGTTGCTTTTCATGTTAAAGTTTTCAGACTGCCTTTCTCTGTAAGTTTGTAGAAAACATATGAATAAGATATTGGGATATGTTCACATTCTTATCATAGACCCTCCCCAACTACTATACGCTAACCAGAAAGATGTATAGCAGTGTTTTTCAAATTTAATAATTTTAAGATGTGCGGACTTCAATTTCCAAAATTCTCCAGCCAGTATTCTGGGAGTTGAAATCTACACATACAAAAATTGCCAAAGTTTGAAAAAACACTGGTCTGAAGTGAAGGTATATCAGGTATTAAACCAGTGGTTCTCAACCTTTTTAATGCCGCGACCCCCAACCGGTCGTAAATCAAGGATTACCCAACCGGTCAGAATGGGACTTTTGGCGTGCTCAGCAGGGCAGAGACAGCCTGGACAATTCCTATTGGCTTTTGAAAGCCAATAGAATTAGACTCTATTCAAGAGAGTCTATTCTATTGGCTTTCAAAAGCCAATAGAATAAAAGGGAATAGCACAGCTAAGGAAAAGGGGGAAAAAATGGCGGACTGCATTGTTTGGTGACCCCCATGAAATGGTTGTTTGACCCCAAATGGGGTCCCGACCCACAGGTTGAGAACCACTGTATTAAACATAGCTACAATCCTCAATGGGACTGCAAATTCTAGTTTATTGTGCTTCAATACCAATGCATAAAGTTGCCATCAAATTCTGCAAATCTTTCTTGTTGTGGTTAAGAATGGAGGATCAAAGCCAGTATAAAATCCATGGTTTCTATTTTATCTCCATGTACACCTTTTCAGTACTTTTTCCATAAATATTGATATTTGTATAATGGATTATTTTTCAAAGCTAGCCCATGACAATTATATGTTGATAGATTTTATGTCTAAAAATCTAATAAACAAATCTCTATTAAAAATAATATTTTATATTCAAATACTAAAATGCCTTTCAAGCATCTGGGAGAAAATAGCAACATAAACTTGTAGGAAGGGGCATTGGTCTTACCTGAACGCCTTTTCTCAGTACGGAGATGGATAATCCACAGATGGGTTTTCTCTGTCTGCCTGCTCTTGAGACCAAGTAGCCAAAGCTTGACACGCCCCCACTTCCTGTGGAGTCCATTCTTAACGAGGGCGAAGTGGCTGATGATTGACGAGGTATTGGCTCTCAGCTCCCTACTAGCGGCCTGCTGGCCTTGGGGTGGGTGTGGATTATCCATCTCCGTACTGAGAAAAGGCGTTCAGGTAAGACCAAAGCCCCTTCTCCAGTACAGGAGATGGATAATCCACGGATGGGACGTACCAAAGCCTCACTGTCCCAAGGGGTGGGAAACAGATAAGGCCGGTAGATTGATCTCTGAGACAACTTGCTGGAGGACCCTCCTACCAAAGGAGGCGTCCGCCGATGCAAAGCGGTCTATCTTGTAGTGTCGTATAAACGGGGAAGGCGAGGACCATGTCGCGGCCCTGCAAACTTCCTCGATTGACGCCTGGGTAGCCCATGCCGCCGAAGTTGCAGCGCTTCGGGTGGAATGGGCCGTGAGATGACTTGGGGGCGGCAGGGATGATAAATTGTAAGCTTCTGCGATACAGCTTTGGATCCACCTTCCAATGGTGCCCGCGGAAACTTTCCGCCCCAAGGTGCCCGCTTGGAAGGACACAAATAGGGCCTCCGATTTGCGGAAGGGTTCTGTAAGCTTTATATAACGCCGCAAGGCTCTGCGGACGTCCAATGTATGCCACTGCCACTCCCGGTCATGTGTTGGATTTGGACAGAAGTTTGGGAGAATTACTTCCTGTGTCCTGTGAAAGAGTGAATTCACCTTCGGTATGAAGGCAGGATCTAACCTAAGGACCACCCGGTCCTTGTGGAAAATGCATAGGTCGTTTCTGACTGACAGTGCGGCCAGTTCCGAAATTCGTCTGGCCGATGTGATGGCAATCAGGAACGCCACCTTTAGCGACAGGTGTCGCAAGGAAAAGGTCGCCAATGGTTCAAATGGTGACCGAGTGAGTGCGTGAAGGACTCGCGGTAGTTCCCAGGACGGGTACCTGTGAATTACTGGAGGTCTGGTGTTATAGGCGCCCTTGATAAAGGCGCGGATCCTGGGGTGGTGAGCTAAGGGAACCGAATCCGTGCAGGTGAGGAGGGTGGACAAGGCCGCCACTTGCCTGCGGATGGTCGCGGGGGCGAGGCCTCTGTCTAGTCCCTCCAAGAGGTAATCTACTATCTGAGGGATGTAGAGTTTGTGTAAGTCAAACTGCCGTTCCCTGCACCAAAGGCAAAAATTTTTCCAAGTGGAGTCATAAATGCGGTTTGTTGCCGGACGGCGTGAAGCTTGAATTATGGTAATGGCCCCGGGAGAGAATAGTTCCTGTGCCATTATCTGGCGCTCAAGTGCCAGGCGGTCAGTTGTAACCATTGGGGTTCCGGGTGACTGATGGTTCCCTGGTGTAGGGACACTTGATGAGGGGGAATGTTCCATGGGGGCGACTGAGACAGGTTCATCAGGTCGGCGAACCATGGTCTCTGTGGCCAATATGGTGCTACTAGGATCACTTCTGCCCGCTCCTTAATCAGCTTGTGGATGACCGCCAGTATGAGTGATAGTGGGGGAAAGGCATAAAGCAGACCCTGAGGCCACTGAGTTCTCAGAGCGTCCGTCCCCTCTGCTCACGGGTTGAAGTAACGAGAGTAAAATCTGGGGAGCTGGGCATTGTCTGATGATGCGAACAGATCGAGGATCGGGTACCCGAACTTGCGGGAGATGTCTAGGAACAAGTTCGGGTGTAGCCCCCACTCCGAAGGGTCCACTGTGGTGCGGCTTAGGAAGTCCGCTTGCTGGTTGTTGACCCCCGATATGTGTTCCGCTTTTAGTGACTTCAGATTGGGCTCTACCCAGCTGAATAGGAGTCGTGACTCTGTCATCAGGGTTTTTGATCTGGTCCCCCCCTGCCGATTGATGTGCGCCTTGGCTGCTACGTTGTCTGTTAGGACTAGAACGTGGTGGCCTCTGATTCTGTCTTTGAATTGTTGCAAGGCTAGGTGGATAGCCCTGAGTTCTAGCCAGTTGATGTTGTTTCTCAGATCCGTGGCGGACCAACGTCCCTGTACAAACTGGGAGTCCAGATGGGCTCCCCAACCATACAGACTGGCGTCTGTAGTGATGGTAACTCTGACTGGTTCCTTGAAGGGTGACCCCTTGGTCACGGCCCGAGAGCACCACCAGCGTAGCGCCCTGCGGATTTGTGCCGTGACCCTGACTAGGTGGTTGGATGCGCTGGTGTTCTGCCGTTGGTAAGGGAGCAGAAACCACTGTAGTTCCCGTAGGTGGAGCCTGGCCCAGGGTACAATGGCTATGGCCGATACCATCTTGCCCAAGAATTGGGAAAGTGTTAGTATCAGAACTGAGCGTTGCCTGTGAACCCAGCGAGCCAGTTCCCTGATGCCGGCCACCCGGTCTTGGGAGAGATAGACCATACAGTTGGTTGTGTCTATCGTGGCCCCCAGATGCAGCAGCCTGGACGAGGGAACTGTCTGGCTCTTCTGAAAGTTTACTGAGAATCCGTGTAATTGGAGGACGCGAATGACGGTCCTTACGTCCGCCTGAGCTGTCTGTAGGGATGTTGCTTGGATTAGTATGTCGTCTAGGTAACATTGGACGCGTATTGGGATTTTTCAGTTTGGCGGCTACCGCTGCTAGTATCTTGGTAAATACCCTGGGTGCCGAAGATAGACCGAAGGGGAGAGCTCTGTATTGGAAGTGTTTTCCCCCGTAACAGAAACGTAGGAACCGGCGGTGGTTTGGGTGGATGGGGATGTGAAGGTAGGCTTCCGTGAGGTCTATCGATGCCAGGAAGTCTCCTTCTCTGATGCTTCCCAGGATGGACTGAAGGGATTGCATCTTGAATTTTTTGTATGTGATGTAGCGGTTGAGGTTTTTTAGGTCCAGGATTGCCCTCCATCCTCCTGAAGTCTTTGGAACCACGAAGAGGATGGAGTAAAATCCTCTGCCTCTGTATTCCGCTGGGACCGGTTCTATGGCTTGAATGTCCAACAGGTGTTGGATGGCCTCCTGCATGAGTTTGCGTTTGGTGGGGTTCCTGGAGACCGAGCAGTTGATGAGTCGGTCTGGGGGTGTGACCAGGAACTCCAGGGACAGCCCGGACTGGATGGTTTGTAGTACCCAGTTGTCCGTGGAGGTCTGCTCCCACTGGTGGAAGAAGTGAGCTAGTCTTCCTCCAATGGGTAGGTCTATGTAGGAGTCATTTTGTCTTCCGGTACGGACGACCCTTTCCACGAAAGGGTCGTCTCGACTGGTTTTGTTGTCTGGGCTGGAACCCCGGTCTGTCGTAGGGGCGGCCGTACGGTTTGTTCTGCCTGGGAGTGAATGGCTTGGGTGCCTGACTGATAGGCGTGGTTGTCGGTTGACGAAAGGACTGCCTACGAAAGTAAGGTGTGGTACGTTTGTCTGACCTTTTGTTCAAGTGTGCCATGACCTTCCGCTTGTCTTTGTTCTCTACAAGATAGGGGTCCAAGGCCTCCCCAAACAGACCGTTGCTTGAGTAAGGGGCGGTCGCTAGCCGCCACTTAGCCTTGGTGTCAGCTTGCCAGTGTTTTAGCCATAGCATTCTCCTGGCAATTATGTTGGATGCTATGGATCTGGATGAAAAAATGGCCGATTGGAACGTTGC